AGTCAGGCACAGAAACAGAAATATCACATGTTCTCACTTATTTGTGGGAGCCAAAAATAAATAAATAAATACACAAATAACCCAGGGGCGGGAGGGAAGAAGATGCAGCAATTACAATTCCTTAAAGTTGATACGACAAGCAAACAGAAAGGAGATTGTTGGAAGGGAGGGGGGAGAGGGTGGAGGAAGGGAGGTTTTGGTAATGGGCCACAATAATCAACCACATTGTATATTGACAAAATAAAATAAAATTAAAAAATAAATCCAGGTGGGAAGAAAAATAGCATATGGTTTAAAAAAAAAAATGACTGCAGGTAACCCAAACTGACATTATTCAGAACAGATGTGAAAGGCAGTAGGGTCTCTATTACGAACAAAGAGTAAGTAACCAGAGGGACAAACTGTTTTCTGGGGGAACAATGACACAAAACTGTCTTTTGGAGAAGGATGCTGCTACTGAGACTGTGCTATTTTGCATCTCCTGTTAACTGATGGAACCAGCTGAGGGATTTGAGTTGGAAGGACAATTGACCCTGTTGGAAATTCTGATCATCCAGGAGATAAAATAAACAGTCCAAGACCTTGCTCATGTGGTTTCAGCAGAGACCCTTGGAGCCTGATTAGCCCTCTTTAAAGACACAGGTGGCCTGAATTCTAAAGTTCCTTGGAAGATCTTGCTTCCCTTCCCCTGTTCAGCCTATTTCCTGTGACTGCCCTGCACACTCCTTCTGTTCCAGGCAAACAAATCTTTGCTTTCTCACACCTGTGCCTCTGTTCATGACCTGAGATGCACTCACCCACACTTCCACGATATACACATCTTTCAAAGTCCACCTGTGATGCCACCTTGTCTTTATGGTAAAAATAATCTCTCCCTTTTCAAAATTTCCATAACCAATTATTTGTACTCTTAAAACTTCATGCCTTCTACCCTGAGCTATAGTCATTTGGATATATCCTATGTTCTCTTCTAGGCAATAAGCTCCCAGAAGGGAATAAGCATGTCTTCTTTGTTTACGCTCCAGATCACAACAGATACTGTAGCCTGTACTGCTCTAACACAGAAGAGGGGTGCTTTTTCTGTGACTTTTCTTTTCTGTTATGATTTAGAGGATGATACTGTCTAGTGGTATGAGAAGGGAAAGGAAAACTTTTACCTATTTCCTTTTGTTCCCACAATACTAGTCAATGGCTCACAGGAACACATACCGACCTGTCCAATCTACAGAATGCCTAAAACTTATCACATATACCGAATCCTGGATTATTGAATAAAATAGCAATGTGATATATATTTTTTTCATTCATGGCAGCTGTCCAAAAACCAAGAAAATACATATTTTAAATCTTTTTAATGGCCTTGGATAAACCTGCCTTGCTGTAAGCTGGGGACCGAGGATGGCAACCCCAGGTGACACCCACTTTGTCACATAAGCTATAAGCTATATAGTTTATTCTCCACTCCCTGGAATTATGCTATCCTCCTCCTTCCCAGTGGGGCCTGTCCCATTCCCTGCCGTCTTACACCTAACAAACATCAGGATGTTTTAACTGCTATCCTGTGATTTGCACATCACTTAAAGATTCAAGAAATCTCCTGGTGACAGGTTATCTTACAGAGGCACAGCAAATTTCTTAAGGTATCCATGTGTCTTATAATAGCAGACAGTAAGAATAGATTCAGTTGAAAACAAAATGGAACAAAATGATGGGGAAAAAAGTCATAGTACATTTAAAATCCAAGTCAAAATGTTAGTATAAATAAGTCATAACATTAGTATAAAAGAAAACTCCATCATAGAAGCAGATAGTAGAATGGTGGTTGCCAGAGGGTGGGGGATGGGGGAAATGGGGAGATATTGGTCAGGTGTACAAAGTTTCAGTTATGCAGGATGAATAAATTCTGGAGATCTAAAGTACAACAATGTGACTATAATTAATAATACATTATTGTATATTTGAAATTTGGTAAAAGAGTAGGTCTTAAGTGTTCTCAACAACAACAACAAAAATAGGTAGCCATGGGAGGTGATGGATATGTTAAATCAGCTTGATTGGGTCATCATTTTACAATGCATACATATGTCAAAACATCATTTTGTACACCTTACGTATATACAGTTTTTATTTGTCAATTATACCTCAATAAAACTGGAAAAAATAAAAATAAATAAAATTTCATAAAGGAAGAAAGAAACAAAACTCCAAATATATCTAAGCAAGTTGTTCATATTTCAAGCTTGAATAATACTGATAAGATAATGGCATTCTTTGTCACTGTCTGGACTTACCTCTTTGGTAACAGTAGGAAGCAATAATGCCAAATTATAGAACTTCAAAGCATCCTGATTTTTTTCAAGATCAATATAACACTAGAAATGAAAGATAATCAATATTAAAGGTAATCACATTTCTATGTAATGGATTCAAAGTGATATTAAAACAATGGTCTTCATTACCTTTGCCAAGTACATGTAATTAGACTTGGAATAACCAGGGTGTAGTTCTTCAACCTGATTTAAGAGAAAATAGAGAAGAGAATAACAGGGCAATTTTAAATCAATAGCAATAGCCACAAGTAAGGAGGATATATTTCAATAAATCAAGTATTAACATAACTGCTTAAAAATTTAGGTTGGTCGTTTTCACATTTGAATCATTTTATCAGTTTAAATATCCTTTGGGTGGAAACACAGCTTTTGCATTTAGCCATTAAAATTGATTACTATGGTCATAATGCTTACAAAGCAATGAGAAACTTTAAGGTTTTGAGATGCCTTTATATGAGGGTACTTCAAAAAGCTCATGGAAAGATTCGTACTATCTTTGAATTCTTTTTCCACAAATTTTTTGAAGTACCCTCATACAATCATTTTCCTTGCTCCTCCTTCTTCATCCTTTCTCTTTTTTCCTTCCAAGAGAAAAAACAACTGGTGATATACTCTCCCCAGGACAAGTCCTATACATTTCCCAATTTGTTTGGGAAATGAGAGTAGAGCATGCCTTGTATCCCATGGCTTTAATTCTGCATATATACCCTAACACCTATGTTTAATTAACCAAAGTGATTATAAAACAGAGCACCTCTTTTTGCTGTCAAGGTTAAAAAAAATAAATGAAGACCAAAGAAACACTGACAGTCTACTAACAACATTGAATTCCTAAATTGGAGCAGATTCTGACCCTTTACCAAAGGCCTTAGATGAATTACAAGGAGGGTGACATTACTCAGTATAATGTTCTAATTAAGGGATGGTTTCTAGAGAGGCTCTTAGAACACTCCATATCATAACACCTGGCAATGAGAATTGTATATGTTTTCATGGTCTTAGCTACCTAAGTTTCCTGAAGGCATTTCCTGGTCATTTCTGTGTTTCCTGCACTTGACACTCGATATGTGCTTAATACACATTGTTGAATAAATTATCTTTGCTATAAAACATCTCATAACCTCAAGCAGTGGCCTTCAACTGTATCAGGATGTGGAAGAAAGCTCTTCAGCTGGTGAGACCACTAATAGAGACCCAGGGATCATATGATTGCCAACAGTGGGTAAGATCAGGGCAGCCTGTCCCCCAAAATTGCCACATCTGTCATCTATTACACAGACCCATCCTCTGGTCCAGTGGTTCCCAGCATGCCATGGGCTGCCACTGGAATTGCCTTGAGAGCTTTAAAAGCACTGATCCAGTTTTAAAAACACATACCATATGACCCAACAATTCCACTCCTAAGTACTTACCAAAGAGAAATAAAAATGTGTCCACATTTGCATATGAATGTTCACAGAAACCTTATTCATAATAGCCCCAAACTGGAAACAACTCAAATGTCCATCAACAGGTTAACACATAACAAATTTGGTATATCCATACAAGGAATATACTCAGCAATGAAAAGGAACTACTGATACACACAAGAAAATGAATGAATCTCAAAACATTATGCTGAGGGGAAAGAAGCCAGATAACGCACAAAAGTACAACTCATATGATTCCATTTATATAAAATTTTAGAAACAGGAAGAACTAATCTATAGTGACGGAAAAATAAAATAGGCAAAACTAATCTGTGGTGACAGAAAGCAGATCAGTGGTTACCTGGGGCAGCAAAGGGGCAAAGAGAACTCTCTAGGGTGATGGAAATACTCTATATCTTGAAATGGTAGTGGTTCCACAGGTATATAAACACATGAAACATCAATGAACATTTTAAATGGGTACAATTTATTATATATAAACTATACCTCAATATACCCAGAGATAATTAGTTTAGGTCAAGGCCTGGACTGACACTTTCTAAAGCTCCCCGATGATTCTAAGCACAGCCAATGTTGAGAACCACTGCCCTAGTGAATCATGCCGGAATTTTGGACGAGGTGGGAAGCATGCTATTGTTTCAAAGAATTCCCACAGGGGATTCACTAATGACTACTAGTCTAAACCCACCTCCCTAGATGCTTTGAGGATGTGGAGGACCAGACAGCCCCTGTTATAAGTACAAAATAATAGTAGCTAACATTTCTTTTCAGTTACAACATTTAGCACGCTAGACCCTGGGCCAAGAATTACATGTATTATTTTATGTAATCTTCACAAAAAACATATGAAATAGGTATCATCATTCCCACTTCACAGATGAAGAATTTGAGAGTAGGAGAAATAAAGAAAGGTGTCCAGGTCATACAGACAAGAAAAGGGTCAGGTCTCAACTTTATCTGACTCCAAAGCTAGTGTTCTCGACCTCTATGGGGCTCAACAGGCTAGTTCTGGAGATAATTTCCTGGCCCCTGTGAACTCCCTTTGGAGGGATGGATTGGGGGAGGTCATACAGACAAGAAAAGGGTCAGGTCTCAACTTTATCTGACTCCAAAGCTAGTGTTCTTGACCTCTATGGGGCTCAACAGGCTAGTTCTGGAGATAATTTCCTGGCCCCTGTGAACTCCCTTTGGAGGGATGGATTGGGGGCAGGAGTCCTACCATCTGGGTTCCAACCACATGGCCTCCTGTGGAGACCAAGAGGTTGCAGACTCTCCTAGGGTGTGGGATCCAAGGTCTATGCTGCTTCCTTTTCTTCCCTTCCATCACCCAGATCTCTTAGTTCCTTCACAGCCTTATCCTTCAGCACTCTAGGATCCTCAGGACCGTGGACCATTGCAGTAAATACATGGAGAAGCATTCCTGGTGTCTTCTCACTCCCTTTTGACAAACACCATGGAACAAAATTCCAGACAGGATCTAAGTCATGGATGACCAAATGGTAGGGTCCCCAAGATGGTCTGCCAAGGTGTTTACATTTTAATGAGGTCAGAATTCCGTGAGTTTGTATTGAGTCCTTACTAGGTGCTATACCTAACACTCTAAGCAATTTACTTGTATTAACGTATCTGTTCCTCACAACACTGCTATGAGGTATGTACTTTTATCTCCATGGTCTTGATTAGATTGAGAGAAGTTAGTAATTTGCCCAGTGTTAATCAGCTGGTAAGTAGTAGAGCTGAGATTTAACCAGGTAACCTGGTTCCAGAATCTGCACTCCTTACCTCTATGTGATTTTGGAGCTTATCACTTTCAATTTTATCTGTGTATTATTTCAGGGACATTAGCACCTTAAGAACTTTTGTACAGTATTCTGAAAACCTGACCTCCAGTTATAACTTTGATATAATGAGAAAATGAATTTCAAGTTCAAAACTAATATTTTTGCTAATTAACTTGGCATCTTTTATATAAATCATTTATCTTAAATATACCATAATCCATATTCTTACTAAACTCAAAAAGAGGAAGCTAATTCTCAGTGGTAGAAAAAAGATGAAGAAATGGGGATGATGTAGTCTTAGACTTCATTCATATCTTAAATCAAGTCTTTGATTGCCATTATGTGAAACAGGACAAATGAAGTTTCTGAGGTCTTGATTCCCTTTTTTTTTTTTTTTTTTTTGTCTTTTTCGTGACCGGTAAGGGGATCGCAACCCTTTGTGCGGGGTCGCCCACACCGTGCTCAGCCAGTGAGCGCGCCACTGTCCAAACCCGCGGTGGGAGCACCACCGTGCTCCCAGCGCTGCACTCTCCCGAGTGCACCACGGGGTCGGCCCATTGATTCCCTTTTTATAAAATAAAAAATGAAAGCACAAGGGCCATACATTTCTTTTTTTTTTTTTTTTTTTTTTTTTTGTTTTTT